CATCACAGGATTTTATATACTCTAGATAGACTCACTCAGAAAGTGGAGTTTTCTTTCATTGTAGATGACTCCCTTAGAGTAATTATGTTGACATAGACTCTGTTTCTTTTTAGGCTGAGGGTCTGATGCAGTTCCAAAATTCCCAGTGTAGATCCAGGCTATAAATAAGACACAGAAAATGCAATTTAAGTGTTTTGTGGCTCCGTAGTGTTTCATCACACTTAAGTTTAATAGCAACGAGAAAAAATATATTACAGAGCCACGGATATTCATAGAAATGAGTAATTAGGAAAGCATTCATTTGGGAAGTCTCTAAAGTGAAGCTGTCCTTGAGCAAAAAAAAAACAAACAAAACAAAGAAGGCAATTTTAGAGTGAGTTGGAAACTATGCTTAAATAAAAATATTTGACTGTAAAATGGACATTTTAGAAAACTACAGGGTCTCTAATTTTGGTTTATATAATAACCTATTTTGAAGTGATATAAATTCACCAATTAAGGTAGAATAATAATTATAAAATAACATGTATTAACTGCTTACTATCCTCTGGGCTCAGTAGTAATTCTTTGCGTATATCATCTCGTTTAATCTCCACAACAATGTTATGAAGTAGAAGTTACGATAATATTATCCCCACTTTGCAGATGAGGAAAGTGAAACTTCGAGGGTTAATGAACTTCCCACATGCACATGCCTGATAAGTGGTGAAGATGAGAATTGAGCCCAAGCCTTCTCACTCCTTGGACTGCACTCATAACCACTATGCTGGTTTAGGTACACAAATACTCTCAACGCTGTCAGCAATCACATTTCTAAGAAGCTATAAACAGATAACAAAAGGATAATAGTAAGTGATCTCGTAGTTCAGTATGATGACTTCTGTTAATAGACCGGGTACAGATGTGTAATTACATCTCTTCCATCAGTAAGAGTTGGTCTACGTACACAGACATTCTTACTTCTTCTTTAATTCCCTTCTACTCTATCTGCCTTCAGGATCCAACTCATAATTAGCTATGTGTATGCTAACTCACAGCGGTGGAGGGCAATGACTGCAGCTTCACTTTCATTAGCCAAATTTGGAATTTGAAGTCCCAAACCCAAGCCATTGACAGTGAAGGTCACAGTGATTTTGGAAGACAGGAATAATGAGGGGAATGGAGAAGACAAGGGACGTTAGACTTTAAAAATATTACAGCTGCCCCATCAATTGGGACCATGTCTTTTTAGATCAATGAGTTAGTGTTTTTTGGATAACGGGCGTATCCAGAAGTATCCACTGAACAAACTGTGGTTTGCTCTATCAGTAAGACCTATCATTTATGCCACATTGACATTTTACCACAAGACAAACTTAGATTTTCCAAAAGAAAGTGTCCTTAAACATTTGCCCAATTTTAAATTACAGGCCAAATTAGGCTAACTAAATCTGTGTCCTCTGATTACTGTGATTCTGAGGTCATATTACAAAGCTCTGCCCTTCCCATGCCCACGTGTAGAAGTGGGCATGGCTTTTATTCCTGTGGTGTACTGCACAGAGCTCCCTCAAAGGGCACCAGGCAGGGCTGGTGAACCAATACCATTGTATGATCTGTAGTATGAGATATTGTAGGCATTACATATAAACCTTATGAATTTCATTATTTGAGACATATGATGCACTATGGAGTGCAGTGGCATAAGCTAGGATCACACCACTGTACTCTAGCTTGAGGGACAGAGCCAGACCACATCTCAAAAAATAAAATAAATAAAAATAAAAGTAAGATATTTTTGTTCTTTATCCATTGGCTGAGTGATTTGATATTGTCAGTTGCTAACATACTGAAAGAGTAAGGTCAGAATAAATTGATTTTGTACACAAAGATGAAGCAGATGTCATTTAAAACCCAGGTAAGCTATCGTCCTTGGAAAGACCACCTTCTGGGGTATGGCTCACGCTGCTGCACCAGAGCCTTGGCTACTGTAATGGTTCTTAAACTTTACTGAGTGTCAAAGTCGTCTGGAGGGCTGGATAGACCTAGCTGGGACCACTCTCCACCACCCTTTCATGAGAGTTTCTAACAGTAGTTCTGGGGCAGGCCCTGAGAATTAGCATTTTTAACAAGTTCCCAGGTAATGCTGAAGCTACTAGTTTAGGGACTGTCCTTTGAGAACCCCCACTCTGGTGTTTCCTTTTGGTGAGCAACCAAGATTTGGGCTCTCAACACCATTTGTAACTGCTGTGAGAATGTGAACATGAACACACAGCAGGAAAACCACGCCTATATCATTGGTATTATCATTCAGTAAATCGAATCATTGCTTTGTACCAATCATGGTTTCAAAGGGACTAATGGCATTGGAAATTTCCAAAGTACTGGCCAAGGCCTTTGACAAGAATAATAGCTTTATAAACCAGTGTCATCTATATAGCCAGAAATAAAATTATACTTAAATACAATTCAGCTTTGATGAGGCTTTCTTAAAAGTCTGGCTACAGAATTATGGCTCAGGACAAACCTAACTGGGGAAAAAAATATCACAGTATCACTATTAAGATGTCCTATATTTTGCCCAGGAATGCCTTTCGCATGTTTATTCCTCCTGAGATCACTAGTTTCAAGCGTTAAGATATACCAGCGTGGATATTCGGCTGACTTGACATGGATATTTGGCTGACTTTCAAGGTTTGGTGTAAACATATATTAAGTACAAAGTAGATGGCCGTTGTCATAAAGAGCTAAGTGAAAATGTGACTTAAAAGTTTCCCACACCAAAACAACTCTGTTGATTGAAGTTTTGCTGAGAATCAAGTAGATTTAAAAATATGTATAATGATATATACCATTTTAGTCTATTTTGGTTTGTTGATAAACTAAGTGGCAGAAAATAACTCTTCAATTTTCACTTTTTTTTTTCCAGCCAAGGATATAAGTTTTCATCCTGGGAACTACAATTTCAAGAGCTCAGTAGAGTTATTGAGTTGTGAGCCTTTTTCACTTTGATCTAATTAAATAAACTTGATGAAATACTGATTGTGAAAAATTGCATAGAAGACAAAATAAAATACTAAGTGGCTCTACAAAATCCTTGCTGATGTAATTACTGCTTTGCTGTGCTGATGATTAGAAAATATTGTGAATAAGTACAGATTTCCCTCTCCTCTCCCCTCCCTGTCCCTCCTCTCCCTTCCTTTTCTCTTCTTTTTGAGACATGGTCTCACTTTATTGACCAGGCTGCTGATCATGGCTTGCTGCAGCCTTGACTTCCTGGGTTCAAGTGATCCTCCCGCCTCAGCCTCTCGAGAAGCTTCCCAGGCTGGTCTTGAACTCCTGGATTCAAGCGATCTTCTCATCTTAGCCTCCCAAAGTGCTGGGATTACAGGTGTGAGCTACCACACCGGCCTGCTTAATATTTCCAAATGTATAATGTTTCAAATTAATTATGTTATGTTTCATTAATATCTCATGTTTAAACAATAAATAGGTTAATGTAGCATACATTTTTGTTCGATCGAAAGAATGTTTTAGTTTGTTAATAAAGTTGTTGTACTTATATATGGCAAAATAATTTCCGTTGTATCGAGGGCCACCGATATTGAACTCTTCACCAGGGTTGACTTCTGCCTTTTGTGCCCGTGCACACATCCTGTGGATGTACTCTGTGGTACAGTGTCTGTGGGCCATTGCTAACATTCTGAATGTGTTTTCTTTTCCATGCAAAAAAAAAAAAAAGCTTATCAGAAAGCATTGAGGATGAAACTATTGTAAGAATAAGCGAATATTGAATTGCCTCTGATTTATACAAAGTACAAATCATTTGCTTAAGTCTTGATATTTTAACTATTAGTTAAAAATGACTTGGAGCATAGTGTCACAAATAATAGCAACACAGAGATTCAAAATTGCTGCTCCAGTGTGCTCCTGCTACCCCCACCTCCGAGCAAAGATCAGTTCCACTAAATAGATACAGGTACATGCCAGTGAGCCTCAAGAAGAGAAAAAAGGGCAAGAAGATGTGAACAGTAGAAGAGGTATTATATAATTTATTAAGTACTGGCACCTTTAACAATATTTAAATAACACAAGAACATTGGTCTTAGATGGTGAGAACTATGGTGAAAAGGGATATCTAACCATTATCATATCCCCCCAAATGGCAAATCTAGACGACAGCCTGTAATTCATAAATTCTTACAAATAATTTTAATATGCAGTAAAGTCCCACCATAAGACACTTTGTATGCTGCTTTACTTAGATGGTGGTTTCAAGCATAACTTTGTTTTTTAAAAATGCATGGTACCTTTTTCTTTAGCATAAAATGGCCTGTGTTTTATATTTTCTTTTTATGGCCAGGAGTTTTATAAAAATTGAAGCTGATCAACAGCAGATTAACCAATTTATTGCTGATACTCCTACTGCTTTAAAACATGATCCAGCCATTTGCATTGCACCTTCACATCAGCTTGGGCTGCAAATCCTGGTTCATGGACATTCACTGGATCCAGTGAGCAGCTTTTTGAGCTCTGTGCTAGGCAATTACAGTCTAGAGATGAAGTTATGATCCCTGTTTTTAAGTAGCTACATGTGGGAAAAGACTGCAGGACACTTGCTGCTGTCTTTATTTCTAAATCATCTGGATATAAAGTTGTAGGATACCCAGGGAGAAGAGCATGGCTTCGGTGACAGAGGATCCCAACCTCCTACCCTATTCTACTCTCTCAGGCCCTGTGCTGCTAGGGAAGATGACAGGTGGAGATGACAGGTCGGGCTGGAAGCGAGGTGCATCAGGGCTGGTGGAGGGAAGGTTGGGTGAAAAACAACTTACTGATTTTGGAAGTCTGTGTGAACCCACGTACCAGTGTTTATCTAATCTCAGTAAAATGTAGGTAAGGTGAAAATAAGGACATGTCTTTGTGGTGAAGGTACATTTAGGATCCAAGGCCTAAATGAAATAGATAATTAGGATTCAAAAAGAAGAAATTGTAAAGCTTCTCTTTCTTTTTCTATTTTTAAGGACAAAATTAGAAGAGCAAAATGGAAAATATGCTACTTTGGTTGATATTTTTCACCCCTGGGTGGACCCTCATTGCTGGATCTGAAATGGAACAGGATTTCATATGGCACTTGAGAAGGGTACCCCGGATTGTCAGCGAGAGGACTTTCCACCTCACCAGCCCCGCATTTCAGGCGGATGCTAAGATGATGGTAAATACAGTGTGTGGCATCGAATGCCAGAAAGAACTGCCAACTCCCAGCCTTTCTGAATTGGAGAATTACCTTTCCTATGAGACTGTCTTTGAGAACGGCACCCGAACCTTAACCAGGGTGAAAGTTCAAGATTTGGTCCTTGAGCCGACTCAAAATATCACCACAAAGGGGGCATCTGTTAGGAGAAAGAGACAGGTGTATGGCACCGACAGCAGGTTCAGCATCTTGGACAAAAGGTTCTTAACCAATTTCCCTTTCAGCACAGCCGTGAAGCTGTCCACTGGCTGTAGTGGCATTCTCATTTCCCCTCAGCATGTTCTGACTGCCGCCCACTGTGTTCATGATGGAAGGGACTATGTCAAAGGGAGTAAAAAGCTCAGGGTAGGGTTGTTGAAGATGAGGAATAAAGGTGGAGGTAAGAAACGTCGAGGTTCTAAGAGGAGCAGGAGAGAAGCTAGTGGTGACCGAAGGGAGAGTACCAGAGAGCATCTGCAGGAGAGAGCCAAGGGTGGGAGACGAAGAAAACAGTCTGGCCGGGGTCAGAGGGCTTCCGAAGGGAGACCTTCCTTCCAGTGGACCCGGGTCAAGAATACCCACATTCCAAAAGGCTGGGCACGAGGCGGCTCGGGAGACGCTGCCTTGGACTATGACTATGCTCTTCTGGAGCTGAAGCGAGCTCACAAAAAGAAATACATGGAACTCGGAATCAGCCCAACCATCAAGAAAATGCCTGGTGGAATGATCCACTTCTCAGGATTTGATAGCGACAGGGCCGACCAGTTGGTCTATCGGTTTTGCAGTGTGTCCGACGAATCCAGTGATCTCCTCTACCAATACTGCGATGCTGAGTCGGGCTCCACCGGTTCTGGGGTTTATCTGCGTCTGAAAGATCCAGACAAAAAGAATTGGAAGCGCAAAATCATTGCCGTCTACTCAGGCCACCAGTGGGTGGATGTCCACGGGGTTCAGAAGGACTACAACGTTGCTGTTCGCATCACTCCACTCAAATATGCCCAGATTTGCCTCTGGATTCACGGGAACGACGCCAATTGTGCTTACGGCTGACAGAGACCTGAAACAGGGCGGTGTATTGTCTAAATTACAGAGAAAACCAGCTCTGATTATTGTAGTGAGAGCACTTCATAGGTTATGTCCGGACTTGAACCCTGTCAATAGCATTTCAACATTTTTCAAAACCAGGAGATTTTCATCCATTTAAAAAAATGTATAGATACAGTTGGCTGGACGCAGTGGCTCACGCCTGTAATCCCTGCACTTTGGGAGGCCGAAGTGGGCGGATCATGAGGTCAGGAGTTCAAGACCAACCTGGCCAACATAGTGAAACTCCATCTCTACTAAAAATACAAAAATTAGCCGGGGTGGTGGCGGGTGCCTGTAGTCCCAGCTACTTGGGAGGCTGAGGCAGGAGAATCACTTGAACCCGGGAGTCAGAGGTTGCAGTGAGCCTAGGACGCACCACTGCACTCTAGCCTGGGTGAAACAGCCAGACTCTATCTCAAAAAAAAAAAAAAAAAAAAAAAAGTGTAGGTACAGATATTGAAACTAGATATTCATTTCAATGCCAATTATATACTCTTCTTTACATGGTGATGAGTTTCATTTCTAGGAAAATTTTGTTGCCTTCTTAAAAATTAGATACACTTTAAAACTTCAAGCTGTTACTATAAATAACATGCGATTTCCGAATGGACTTATTCTCAGGGTCCTACTCTAAGAAGAATCTAATAGGATGCTGGTTGTGTATTAAATGTGAAATTGCATAGATAAGGGTAGATGCTAACACAGTATCAGAATAGAGACAAAAAGTCCAACACAGTTTGTGCTACTCTGAGACGGATCCATTCAGCTCTTGCTGTCAGTGTTTATATTGTGTTTTCTGTTGGGTCTGAGGCATTTAGTTTTTTTTTTTTTTTTTAAGAATTACAAATCAGAAGAAAAAGCAAGCATTATAAACAAAACTATTAACTGTTTTATTGCTTTAAAAAATAACAATTACAATGTGTATTATTTAAAAGTGGAAGAAATAGTTTGTTCTATGAAATAAATCTAGTTTAGAAATAGGGAAGCCGAGACATCTTAAGATCTCAAGTTTTTATTTAGCTAATCCTCAAAATATAGACTTTTCATGTATGCATAGTGAAGACATTTCACAAATTATGAATGATCATGCGTTGAAAGCCACATCATTTTATGCTATACCGTCTATGTATGAAGTGCTACATTTTTAGGACAAATAATTCTGTAATCTTTTCAAAGAAAGAAGCTTTTTCTTCTTGACAAAATCCAGCTTTTGTATGAGGACTATAGGGTGAATTCTCTGATTAGTAATTTTAGATATGTCCTTTAGATATGAATAAAATTTATGACTATGACTTTTAAAAGAAGATTCTGCAACACTTCTTCTGGCCATCATGTAGTGTAAGCGGAGTCCAGTGACTGCCCTGGGGCAAAACACAGAGTAGGCACTCAATGTGTATCTCTTGAACAAACAAATATTTGCTAAAAGTCTGTAAAAGGGAAATAGTTCAGGGCATTATGTTTAAAGAGTTTTAGTGATCTATAATCAAGTACACCCTAAAATTCAACAATTGCAGGCCTTATTTCTGCTCTGGTCTATTCTTTCTGACAGTTTCTAAGGCCACATTCTCTTCTCTCGTGACACACTCAAGTCATTGATTCTGCCAGAGTTTAAATTTATCTATTTTTTAATAATGGGGAGTTATACTTTTGGCTAGTATGCCAAGAAATAATTGCTTATAATTAATGATTTTGTAAACTGTGTTCAAAACAGCAGAAATTCAGTACAAGCGCAGATTCTTTTATAATGTGAATCTCTTGAAAACAATTCCACAAAAATTAAAAATAATAAATTAGCTATAACTCCTACTGTATCTGTATGTATGCTTTTTAATTTTTTGTTTAATTGAAGTAGAGATGGAGTCTTGCTACATTGGCCAGCCTAGTCTCAAACTCCTGGCCTCAAATGATCCTTCTGCTTTGGCATTAAAGTGTTGGGATTACAAATTTGAGCCACCATGCCCAGCCATATATGTTTCGTATGCAGAATTTCAGCAAGTGTTAACTGCCATTTTATTTTTTTAATGATTTGATTTAATTCTAAGCACATTTCACTGAGTAGGATTTTATTATTGTTTCTAGTGGAATAGGGCTATTGACTCAAAAGTGTTGCTCAGTTTTTAGTGGGGAAAACATCTATGTGATTGCGGAAACAAAAATGTTCCAAGGTCATTTTTGCATATTACACACTTGTAAACACACAGACACACACACACAATCTTTGTCTTTGTTCTTTGAATATAACTCCTAGGATTTGAGTAAGTTTAGAATACCTTTTGGTGCTTAATAAAATAGTTTGGTACTTAAATTCTGAGTATATATTCATTTTATATATAATTCTTAAAATCATTGTTCAATATACTTTTCAAAAATATAAAATTCAGCTTATTTAATTTGTAGAGCTTTTTTCTTGTTTTCTTTTTTAGAAATAGTCTTACTCTGTTGCCCAGGTGGCACAATTACCCCTCACCGCAGTCTTGAACTTCTGAGCTCAAGAGATTCTCCCACCTCAACCTTGCAAGCAGCTGGGATAACAGACATGCACCAGTACACCTGGCTAGAGGTTTTCTTTTTTTTTTTTTTTTTTGCCATGCACTTTTCTTTTCCAGTTGAGTCATGAATCTTATATGACTTACTTATTTAGGAACACTAAAATGTATTGTATTAACCAGAAAGTTTTGCTTCATGTACTTTTTCTGTTATGTTTATCAGATTTGAAATTGAGAATTAGACTGAACTCATTTAGCTAAACAAACATACTTACATGCATACATGATATCTACTCTGTGCAAAGGACTGAACTGACTTATTGTCTAGGGAATCTTACCGGGGTGGAATTCAAATAACCATTTTCAAAACAACTGAAATTTAAAATTATGGCATTCCCTCTTTATCTAAATAACATATTTTATTTATGTTTTTTCTTGTTCAAACAAAAGTTTGTGAGCAGAGGCAACTTAACATTTTTTTCGTTTTTGGTATGCTTCTTAGTTAATCCAATGTTTATTTTGAAAAAGATTTAAATAACGTTTGATTGTCTTAGTCCATTTAGGCTGCTATAGCACAATACTTTAGACTGGGAACTCTTAAACGATAGAAATTTATTGTTCACAGTTCTGGAGGCTGGAAAGTCCAAGATCGAGGCATCAGTAGATTTAGTGTCTGATGAAGGTCCATGCCTCATAGATGCACCTTTTTGTTGTGTCCTCATGTGGTGGAAGGGGCACACAAGCTTACTCAAGCCCCTTCTATGAGAGAATTAATCCCAGTTATGAGGCAGGAGCCCTCATGACCTAATTACCTCCTACATACCCTGCCTCTTAATACTATCACCTTCTCACCTTTGGGGTTAGGTTTTAGCATATAAACTTTGGAGGGATATAAACATTCAGACCATAGCAATAACCAAGATCAGAGTTCTGGACACATTTTTACCCTTCTTACTTGTAGATTGAATAATTCTTTTAAATTCTTATTTCATAGAAAGAATATCAGAATAAGAAAAGACTATAAGAAGAGTTTATAAAAGATCATTGGGCCGGGTGCAGTGGCTCATGCCTGTAATCCTAGCACTTTGGGAGACAGGGGCGGGTGGATCAACTGAGGTCAGGGGTTCGAGACCAGCCTGATCAACATGGCAAAACCCTGTCTTTACTAAAAATACAAAATTAGCCGAGTGTGGTGGTGCGCGCTTGTAATTCCAGCTACTTGGGAGGCTGAGACAGGAGACTTGCTTGAACCCAGGAGGCAGAGGTTGCAGTGAGCTGAGATCATGCCACTCCTCCAGTCTGGGCAACAAAGAGAGCAAAACTCCGTCTCAAAAAAAAAAAAAAAAAGAAAAAAAGAAAAGAAAAGAAAAAAAAGATTATCTAGTTTAACCCTATACTTTAAGTTTGAATCCTTTTCTGTAGCATTCTCTGCAAGTGGCTGTCCAGTGATAAGAAAATTTTTCACCCCTTATTGTTTAGTTATTAAAATTAATTAAGAAACATAACATATAAGTTATTCAGTTTGCTACATACTGTAAGAATTATAGTGTATGTCTTGCATTTTATTCCAATGTTGACCATTTTAATGACTCCTAAGTCTTTGTTCTTATGTTAGTAAATCAATTATTTACTCTCTTCAAACATAAGCTGTGATTATTAAGAATATTGGGACAAGGCAATTGAAGCAGGCACTGGACATTACAGGAATGTGGCTCTATAGCTGTAAATAACCTAGAAGTAGCATCATTATTCTTTAAGGTGGTTTCCCAATAACAAATAAGTTTGGCTACTGATTTTTAAAAGTAGCTGTCAGGTTTTAAAGGTGCTTTAACAGAACTACTTTTACTAAAAATGATCAGCAAAAACATCTTAATTAACAGAAGAGTCTTTTTAATAAATGGATTTTTGCAACTAGGCCATTGCTCTTTCTTCAATAGTCAAATCATTAGGTTCAGAGATACTTAGGAGATTTGGTCTAATCATGTCCTCCTCAGATAGCATTGACCTATAGGCAGGTGAACTCATGTCCTCCTCAGATAGCATTAACCTATAGGCAGATTCACAAGTTTTAATTTTTATTTATTCAACACAGGATCTTGCTCTGTTGCTCAGCCTAGAGTACAGTGGAGTGATCATGACTCCCTGCAGCCTTCCTCCTAGACTCAAAAGATCCTCCTGCCTCAGCCTCCTAAGTAGCTGGGACTACAGGCATGTACAATCATGCCCGGCTAATTTTTAAAGTTTTTTTGTAGAGATATGATCTTGCTTTGTTGCCCAGGCTGGTCTGTAACTCTTGGGCTCAAGGGATCCTTCTGCTTTGGCCTCCCAAAGTGCTAGGATGACAGGTGAGAGCCACTGTGTCTGGGCCACACATTTTTATTAATTCACTATTCAACTAAGGGGGACAGCCATGCTCAGATGGTTTTCTTTTCTACTCATAAAATCTAGGGAGGGAAATTCCCTGCTTCTTCCTTTCTGTATTTAAAAGCTGATGATTTGGTCCAATTAGCTAAACTGTTGAGAACATGGTGGGCAAAATGACTTATGATTCCAGTATGGGCTGGTTTGCTTACCCACAGGTAAGGTGGTGTCTTAGTGAGTTGCCATAACAAAACACCACAGACTGGGTGGCTTAAACAAAGAC